ACACACACACACACACACACACCTATTCCAAATATCGTCTCCCAAATATTGTCAAGTCAATGCTCACCAGGTCAATACTCACCACTGTTTATTGATTATTCGCCAGTGTGAACTTTGAGCTAGAGAGACGATCTCTCTCAACACCGGTAAAAGGGGACACCCCCCCCACCCCGGTAGGATTCAAATATTTTGATAAGCTTAAAACCAAATGAGAAAATACATACAAACGTTACAGCTGATTTTGTCCATTGGACATGGTTAACTCCTCTTAAAGAATAATCTTTAAAAACATTAAAAAAAATTAAATGCCTGTTCTGACATCAACGTGGTGTCTCTAGCGCGTTTGATACAATTAAAATAAAATGGCAAATGTTTTACAAAGAGAAGAAACAAAGAATGGTTTTAAAGAACTTTTCGTTTAGAAATGATACAAAAGGTTTATTATACTGTCCCCGTCGTTTTACGTAAGAACAATTCTGAAATTGTGCAAACTGAGCCTAAAAAATGTGAAATCAGGCGATTCTGTTAATTTTAACAAAGTATGATAAAGGAAAATAATCAGAAATTACGCCCCAAAAAAGATCAAATTTTGCTCAATTATGCGGGGTGCATAAAATCACGGGGATAGATTATAATATGATTATTCATAATACTAATATTATTACGTACAAACAGTAATGCGCTCTTTCGAGACCATGCCTATTAGCGTTTAGAAAAATGAGCTATAGTGGATCAAACGGCAATTAGAATTAGTGTAGCTGCTGCTTATCGAAATTGCATAAAACGTGTAGCTAAGTTTATTGCAGCAGTTAGCGTGTCAATGGGGAAAAGAAAACTACAAATTATGAACAAGCAACTAACTATTTAAAGTGAAAACAGCAAAGCTTCACTCCTATAAATTTATTACCATAACGGTTATATGTGCCTTTTGAACGATAATAACAACAGCAACCATATCAACAGCAACAAAAACAATTACAGCAACAACATCCACAACAACATCCACAACAACAACAACAACAACAACAACAACAACAACAACAACAACAACAACAACAACAACAACAACAACAACAACACCAACAACAACAATAACAACTTTGAAAGCTGCAAACCAATAGCGATGATTTGTTCCCACGAATCATTGTACGAGTAATATCTCGTTTGTAAGGTCAAAGTATGGCTTTTCGCTGTCACTTTCATGACGTGTTCCTCCTGCTCTGTCTTTACCAGGTGCTCCTACTCCAACTCCAACTCCAACCGCCGCCCCAACACCTTCTCCGTACCAGCAGAGGCTAGTAGCAGTAGCCACCTACCCCTGTCGCAACCCAGGCCAGGAGGCAGAAGCCTCGCCGGCGATGCAACAGGCTGTGACTAACGCTCAACAAAGCAGCGCCATCACTCAAGCTGACGAGGAGGTTACGCTCACGTTGACGAGAGCCAAATATCTTGAGCTGCAAACGGCAACAAACGCGCTATATAATAATGTAAGTGGAAGAGCTGCAAAACTTGGTGTAATTGTCACCTTTAAGACATTATTCAGGACATTTTTCATTTCTCTTACACTAACGACATTTTTGTTTTATTATGATCAGTAAAATGTCACCATTACAATTAGTTCCCTATTCCGCAAATGTTATTAAAGTATACTGTGTACTAGGCCTATATCATCATCATCATCATACCAACCTCAATGTTAAAAAGTAAAGTAGGAATTGAGAGTATTGGAAGATTTTTGGCTGCTCTAAAGTAAATAATACATGTAATACAAAAAGAGAAGCTTGTTACTAAATAGGCTTAACGTGTCACCCTGTCGGCTTCCCCTCCTCCTCCTCAAATACCTCCTCCTCTCCCCTCCCCCTTTTCATCATCATCATCATCGTCGTTGTTGTTCTCCTCCTTTTCCTCCTCCTCCTCCTTCTCCTTCTCCTCCTCTTCATCCTCCTCATCATCACCATTCAAAGCCACTAAACCAGTTACAGCAAAATGATTTCCACATGGTAACATCGTGTGTGCGCCCCCCCCCCACACACACACACTCTCTCTCTCTCACACACACACACATACACACAAGACTTACTCATACACGGACACAGCCACCTTTCTCACCATTAATTGTGAGCACCATTGCTGAATCTCAACAGTCTAGCACAGCAACAAATAAAAAGAAATAACTGTCTGATTAAATAATATAAGGCACCTCGATCTCGGTTTCTAATATTGTTGCTCCTTTTATTTTTCTTTCACCCTTTCATCAAATAGACCAAACTGTGGATTCCACCCGAGCCTGCTCTCATTCAGCGCCTGAGGAGCAGGATGTCTCAATACCTCCAGACTCCTGTTTTCTACGAAGCTCACTACAGTGCTGAACAGGTATACCAGCTCATTCAGTTTTTGCTTTACACCCATTCACGCCACC